ATTTTATTTGCCTTTTTTGCGTGGCCAGGAAGGTCTTACAACAGAAATTTTACTCGGATCATCGTGGCCTAACACAAAAATCAAATATGAATCGTAATATTGGCTTCTGAAACCTACATATCAATGTAATTTGCCAGTTTTTGCAGCGCCTTGTAATTCAAGTACAGTGTGAGCTGCGTGTTTAGTTCTTCTCTCCAGCTTTCAGTAGCTGAATATTAAATGCCTGCAGATGCCTGCTATGAGTGGTGCATGGCAAAAGCTTAAATGCTTGAACGTGCAGCCCAATTCGGAAAACCACCCTTGGCTTTTTATTGGTATTGGGAAAGTCAGCCGGGGAGTTTTGTAGCATATTGTTGGCAAGATGATGTGATGGTGATAACCGTGAAGATGTTGCAGGAGCTGGAGGAAGACCTGGACAACCTGGAGATTGACGAGAACATCGATACATCCGACATCAACCTCGACGAGGACTTTGAGTGACCTGGCGAACTTGACGACTTTGGTCTAGACTTGGGGATGATGTCAATTTCTAAACAACGGGAGCTCATACTTTCCATAATGGCTAGGCATGTCACGAATTGCCCCCCCCTCTCTCGCCAACCACCCTCTCTCGCCAACTACCTCCAGGCCTCATAATTCAATGACTTATGACTTGGATTTCATTCACTTCAAAAAACAATTTATGATTGTGTTGTGTAGAATCTATTGTGGCTGCAGAGTTATACATCAACTAAATACAACAGAATGTAAACGAATAATCAATTCCTATGCACGCAATCCGATGCATTGATCGTGTGCATAAGAATAGATTCAAATTAACGCCTCGCCACGTCTCTGAGCGGCACTCTTACACCGCAGCTGCATTCATCGTTTATCATTTTTGTAACTATAACAGAAAAAAAAACACTTAAGCTAATATTTTTCACAACATTTTGGCAACCCTATTAGCTGACGTATGCTTAATTTTCGAATTTTGTATCTTCCTAAAAATAAAAAGAGACGTTCAGGCTAGTAGATTTTAAAATGTGTTGAAATGATTAGATGTGGGGCATAACATGCTGCTGTCTTGTTAAGGGAGTTTCGGCGAATGTACACTTCCTTATGTTAACAATTATTTGTTGGCGTATATCATATTTTTTACTGCTAATATTGCAGCATTTGCCACATTTACTTCGGTGAACATTCTCAATCGCACATACAACCTAGCATAAATGAGGGGCCCAATTCAAGTGTTGGCGAAAGTGCCTTTACGTACGATTTTTCATGGTTTGGCTGTTTCGTCAATATAGGAATATGGCCTGTAGTGTAAAGGAACATTAATTAGTAATCACTCTTGTGTATTGCTACGAAAACCTGTTAATATGTTAAAATGTAAACCACCGGTTTTCATTTTTTGTTAAAAATGATGGCACCCCAATATACGTCTGCATATAGCTGTCACAATAAAGTGGTTTATGTATCTGATCGTTGCCATCTGCGTGTGTTTTGTAACATTTCTCATACAAGTGAAAATTCGGTTTTTTTCTATGATGGTGTTTTGTGTCCATTGGTGGCTGGGATTAGACCATTAAATCCCTATCATCGTTTTACATCACAGGGTGGCTTAAACTATGGTTCCCACCTTTTCCACTGTAGATGAAAACCCAGACATTTCGCAGCCTAGGTCATCAAAACTGGAGTCTACTATAATAAAGTTCAACACAATGTCCTCAGATCTCAGAATAGTACAAATCAATTCATGCCACCGTAACACAGATGCCAATTCCTGGATAGGTGGCAACCCTGGCTGAGACACAGATTCAAATTCAGTCCTGACATCGTTAGCTCCTTGACCCAGCCACCATTCATGTCGTTCTTTGCAGTTCCATACCAACGTATTAAATGTACAGTATATTGTAGAGTTAATGCATTTGTTTGGGGGGGGTGTCTTGGGTTGTGTATGTTGGTGGAATTCTTTCGCACCGTATGTCGCCAACCGTGCAAATCAGAGGTGCACAGGAAGGACAACAAACTAAACAAAAGTAAGTTCTAAATCAATGAGTTTTAAATCTAGGTGCAGCAGCGCCAGTGGCTTCCTAATAGCGATTACCACCTGTGTCGGTTTTAGCCACTTCGGGAATTGGCATCTTGGGGTGGCAGGCATTGATTTGAACCGAGATCTTGTACCAGTATTGTGTTAAACGCCATTTCATATTCTTTGGTTCTTTCGGTAAAGTCACGTAGATAGAAAAAATATAAAGTTAATAAATACAAACCACGACGTTTTGATCGCAACACAAACGGTCGTCGTCAGGAATAGGGGTGTTAACCGCTAAAGGCAAACTGTTTATAGAGGTTTAAAATGGGTGGAGCTCAAGTGCCGGCAGCATGGGCGGGGCAGCTGATGTTAATGTAAGTGATGGGAGTAGTGGGCAACGACGGCGCTGGTGGTGGGTTTCCACCAATTAAAGGGCTGCCAGGTAATAATTGCACCTCGCTTTACACAATCACACTGTTGACGGTGGAGGTTGCTGCGAGAGGTAATGGTAGTGTAGTGACTTATTGTCACTGTATGGTGCCGGGCTTACGAAGTCACGGCTGGTAATGTGGTGATTACGGGCAGCCCGGGTCGCGGGCTGCAGTACCCACACTAGCGGTGGTTGGGTGAGCGCTGGTTAGCGCCGTGGCACCGCGAGCAGCGAGTGCGCAGGTGCCGGCTCCCAGTGAGGGAGCGAGAGCGAGCGTCAGTCAGCCAGGGTGGCCCTGGGGCATGACACTGACCTGTTGTCACGTGACCGGACGATACTGGAGGGGGGTCACCGGTGGACGGGGGCCGAGGAGCGGTCACGTGGTCCCGGAGAGTTCTCGAGAAGATTCGAGAAGCCTGGAAGGTGGGCGGGGCTAGGGGCGGAGCCAGCCCCGGCCCAGGAGCAGATAATGAGAGCTTCGTGAGGAGATCGGGTTTCTTCAAGTGTCGGTGTTCGAATATCCACGTCGGGGAGAAGAAGCCTCGAGCCACGCGGTCCGGGACCCAGCTTGTGGTCCGGACCGGGATGGCGAACCGTGTCTAGTTCTGCCGTAGCGTGGCTAGATGGGCATTCGAGACCCAAGCGTAGGTTGTGTTATGTTGCACGTTGGTTGTGAATAAATAGCGTTGCTCCCAAGTTAACGTCTGCGACTCAGTTAGACTCACTACAGTAGTAATGGGTAATGATGGTACTCGTGGTGTATCTGCAGCAGCAGTTACATTGGGGAAACTAAACGACATGTCTCGGACCGTGTTCGGGAGCATAAGGCAGATTTGAAACACGGTAGGACCAATACTTAAATCGTGGCTGATCATTATTTTAATGCGGCTGGCTCACAAGTTTGATTTCTCTACGACAAAGCCATCCGTATATACAGACATACACACAATTTCAACCGAGAAGATGGGTACAAACTCAGCAACCACTAGAAGGACGTTATCAACCATCTTGGTTCTTTCGGTAAAGTCACGTAGAAGGGAAATAATAAAATAATAAAAATAAAACAAATTATTCTCATGACGTTTCGGCCACAACGCAAGCAGCCGTCCTCAGGTGAAGAACAGGTCTGCCGGAAAGACAGCGTCTGAATGAGCACCACCAGTCTTGGCAGCGTATATTTAAGCTGGGTTGGAGGGGGAAGGGCGCCTTGACAAATGAATTTGCATATCAATAGGAATTACTATTAAAATTCCTTCCCTTTATTACTTCTAACCCTACTCCCTCCCTTTGATGCTGCTAATCCTGCATAATACGCATTCCACAAGTAGTGACTAATCCCATATCTGCATTTCCCATAAATCTGCTAAATTCCTATTGATATGCAAATTCCTTTGTCAAGGCGCTCTTCCCCCTCCAACCCAGCTTAAATATACGCTGCCAAGACTGGTGGTGCTCATTCTGACGCTGTCTTTCCGGCAGACCTGTTCTTCACCTGAGGACGGCTGCTTGCGTTGTGGCCGAAACGTCGTGAGAATAATTTTATTGTTTTATTTTTATTATTTTTTTATTTCCCTTCTACGTGACTTTACCGAAAGAACCAAGAAGATGAATCCCTGCAGTCACGAAAGCTTTAAATCCAAAGTTATCAACCATTTCAAGTCATAACTGGCTGTAATGTTTTCATTTTAGACCTGGCAGCCCTTTAATTGGTGGAAACCCACCACCAGCGCTATCGTTGCCCACTACTACCATCACTTAGATTAACATCAGCTGCCCCGCCCATACCGCTGACACTTGGGCTACGCCTATTTTAAACCTTTATAAACAGTTTGCCTTTAGAGTCTAACCCCCCTTTTCCTGATGACCGCTTGTGTTCCGATCGAAACGTCGTGGTTTTTGTTTTTTATTATTTTTCTATCTACGTGACTTTACCGAAAGAACCAAAGAATATATTTTCCTGCAGTCACTAAAGTTTTAAGTCAAAATGTATACGCCATTTCAGATTACTGCATAGACCTACATTGACTGAGAAACACGTCTGCGTGTGGACTGTGGAAACGGTGGCAACGATAGGTGTGTGGTACAGTGAGCTTGACAATGATCGTTAAGATATGGATTGCGTCATACAAACAACTGTGTGGAGCAAATACAGTGCTCTTGACCTGTTGCGAAAGGCACGCGTTGTACAATGCGCATGGGTGGTTACATCCTAATGCGAGTGGTGTGACAGCCTAATGTCCGTTCCAGTTTCACGACTGTTGAAGCGGGGCGGGGGGGCAGCTGGTTTTTTAGTTTTCCTAACCACCCTTTTGGACGAGCTACGCTTTCGGGTCTATATATTTTAGTTACGGTTTGGCTGGCTCAAAGCTCCGCCTAACATTCTAAATGTAAATCTCATCAGGCCCATCGGTGTCAGGCGCAGGCCACAACTGGTATCCACGACCTCTGCGCTCTTCTACTTTCCGACCACTTCCTGACGCCGCGGGTCAGGAAGTGGTCACCGGGAGCCCCCCCCACCCCCCCCTCGGGGCGGGGAACCCGGATGCAGTGACGTCACCGCCATCGCGGCCATATTGATTGAGTCTCCCCGCCCAGTGCAGTTGCTCGTCTTTCCTAGCCACTGCCGCCGCCGCCGTCGCCCATCGCAGCGCAGAATCATGTACGTACTCGCCGAAATTCAGAAACATTCCCCAAACACGGCGTTGCCAGCGCTAGCCAAGTCGCTCGCGCCGTGCGGGCGGCTGACACTGCAGCTAAGACGCGCCGCGATATTTCCGTAAGGCCTAGCTTCGGCTGAAGCCTGACGGCTTTCCTGCCGCGCCTTCCCGCGGGAGGCGCCGGGAGCTGTGCGGGTTGTCGCGAATCCACCGAGACTTAGCGGGCGCTGTTTTAACATGTTCACATAGTGTTCTTTTTGGTCTGTTTAATAGTTTTAAAGCTTGAACTTCTCAATGCGTTTGTGGGGAGACTAGCCGCGGTGGTGTTTTGCTGCGGCTCGGCGGTAGAGAAAGCGGAAATCGGAAGGTAGCGACTTCTAATTCTGTTTGGACGTCGGGGGTTGACTACTCGGGGGTTGACTACTCGGCCCATGGGGCAAGGCGACGGTGGTTCTCCTGCGGACGCACTCCGCTGTCAAAGGAATGCGAAGTTCGCGCCACCGGCTTAGAGCTGTAAACATGAAATGAGCACCGCCTCAGTACTCATTTCAGCAGGCAATCATTGAGTGGTCGTTTCACACCCACAGGCTCCCTATCGAAAATGAACATGTATTGTCCAAAGGGTTTTACCTCTATCAAAATAAACCTAACCAGAACTATTAACGTGATTGCACTAACTAATGTGTACGTGGTAAGTTCGTAAAGACGTCACCAACAAGCAATAACGTCGAACCTGATGGCGAATTTGAAGTCCGTGCAGTTGCTAATGAAGCGACAAGATGTGTTTGTCAGCCTGTGCAGCAGCTGTAGGATCTGGCGGAGGGTATACCGCGTTGGCAGCGATGTGCGGAGGCGTCACACGCCTATGCCGTGATGAAATTCTGCGATTGATGAAGGAAACTACGGCGGCATACGGGGAGGGCGGTCATTCCCAGCGACGCGTAGGGACTTGAATTGCGAGCCACCGCTGCACGGCAAGCCCCACCGCATCGTCTGTGCGGTGCATGATGATCGTTCTCCTCACGGTGCCCGGGGGTTTCTTCGTGTACTCTACCTTCCTCCCTAGGCCGACATAACCGGGGATATGAAAGAGCATTGCATTTTTTGCAAGAGTGCACTTGGTTATATCCAGACAATATGACTCTAAACGAAGTGGTAAGTTTAACACCCCGCCTAACAAGATGAGGTGTAAATAACTAAATATTATCCATTGCTGCTTTTCTGGGTGATTATTGACATCGGGATACGTGATGTTTGTACTGTCCTATAGCCTAGGAGCCTCGTCCGCGTGACGAGACCTGAACCCCTGTTCGGATGCCTTTTATCGCAAATGTTGAGGTCGTCCCTCGCCGCTCGTCACCGAGCTCACGAGAGAGAACCAGTCGTTGTTTGATCATCGACATTTTCCTCGCCGGAGCTCGTGTCGCAAACAATGAACGGTGGTTGTTGTAGCAGAGTCTTCGTTTTCGTAAGAATAGCAATTGCATTGTAGCGTGCTTGTGCCCTGAGCCGTTGCTAAAAAAAGACATTGATTGATAATGTTGGGGGCGGACGTGCCTGCCTCCCTCCTGCTGGCCACTGCTGACGTGAACATGTCTGACATCATCGCGTGGGGGTGCGTGTGTGGGGTGTTTTTTTGGAAAGCAGCGCAAACCACACCAGCGTGAATAGAGAGGGTGGCTCTGGGATAGCGGAATTAGGTTAGCGATGCCCGGGTGATGGGACTTTCACCTGCCGACATACAGAGGTCCTCCTGACCGTGTGCCACGTGTTGCGTGAGAGGACAAGCGCAGGAAGCTTAGCGGTAGAGTGAGCGGCTCTTAATCAAAAGGTTGCTGTTGACAAATCCTGTTCGTTGCAGTTGCTTAAGCACAAGCTCATAAGCCAAGCGGCCAGAAACAAACAGTTCCGTCCGTTTTAATCGATAAGAGTAGACACGTTTCTTGATTTGAGCAAGGTTATATTAGTTTGAGAAAGTAGACGATGGGAGGGAATTCTAAAACGGAGTCGTGCGAGTGAAGAAACAAGTGAGGTCAACTACAAATATGGTGGTTCAAAACAGGATGGATGAAACAAAATAGCTCATCATCTCTGGCGCTCAATAAAATAGCTACCACTTTGTGGGGAAGTATGCAGTGATTGACTCGCCCCCTCTATGTATGCGGCATTCGACCACTGGTTCAGGGTTGCAAATAGGAAATAGTACTGCCTCAGTGCTTATTTGAGTGGGAAATAACTGCCTTTTTAAATTACAACCAGGACTCTGGGGCTTCAGTTGCCTGTGACCAGAGCCCTCTTTAAAGTCGCCTGGCATCGTTCCCTGCATTGAAATAAGTCGAGAACACGCTGAGTTGACTCATACACGTGCCATTGTATGTATTTTAGCTATGGGAGAAAAGTTGAGAACACGAGGCAAACCCATTCAGAACAGGGGAATATTCAAGTTCAAGTTCATTTATTTGGTATAGCCCTGTGAGCCATTCGGCTCTTGAATCGGGTGCAACCGCAACAAACAGAAAACAAAAACATGAACAAGAAAACATCTTAAAGTGACTATGTGCAAACAGAAAATCCAAGAAAAGACAGCAAAATATTGCAGAAAAAGCACCGTACACCAACACTGTGTGCAAAAATCCCAGTGGGATGCAAGTCAAACAACAACAACCACAAGACAACTTAGATTAAGGCCATCAGTCTAACTCTGTACTACAACAAATAAACATGGCCAAACCAAAAAACTTTTCGAAAATCACAAAAATAAAGCCATAAAAGCAATGAAACAGTGATCATAGGAACTGTGACCGAATTTTCACAATAAACGACGTGAACAACATGTACTACCAAACTCTGCAACCATAATATAATGCAAAGTCCACACAGAAAGGTAGTCGAGTCGGGAATCGAACCCATGGCGTGAGGCATACGTGTTACCACTGCATCACCCTGCCATCCAAAGTTACTAAAATGTAAAATTACTCGATCAGATGTAAATACATATGACTGTGGAAAGTTTCACCGCAGATTGAAGTGGGTGTGAATAGGTGCTGACATGCTTTAGGCATTTGTGTAGCTGTGACCTTACTTTAACTATGCCCGGTCAGGGTGTGGATAGTTCATCATAGAAGCATGTGACACTGCCAGTTTACCCACATTTCCCCCCTTGGCGGAATAATCTAACTAGTTAAGTACATGAATAGCAAAATAGATGCATGGGTTATTATTTTCAGTTTATTGCAGTTCTAAAAACTATCCTGGGCATTTTGGCCCAGGATAGTTTTTAGAACTGCATCCCTTAGATTAGCGAGTGTCAACAGAGGCTCAGAAGCAGTAATCTTGAGTGCAGTGGAAAGAGTCGAGCTGCTTTCATGATAATAAATACCCCACTTCTCCAGTTTGCAAAAGGTAGCAGTCATGCCTTCATTATGACTCTGGGAGACAGTGCAGACTATAAATAGCTGGTCATAATCGCATTTTTTTGTCAGTGTGTTACAGGGTTTTAATTATGAACGGTTGTAGGTTCTCTGCACATGTGATGGGTGCAGATATTTCCCTTGAATGTAGAGACATTCACATGTCAAAGTTTAGATCCACTTGAACGTTGTCTGTGGCTTCAATTCCCATGGTCTGATGTAAGGAGCTTGAGAATATATTGATTGTGGTTCATCTCAACTCGTTGCACATCCTGGCGTCAAGATTGCATATCAATTGTGATGGTTTTCATTTATTATAATTCTATTGCTTTATGTAATGTGCATTCCATTTGTATATTTTTCTTTAACCAAGAAAGCGCATGTAATCTTTCAAAAGGAGACTGCACTGTTTTGTGAGTATTAATCAATTGGATTAAATGGGCATCCGGCTTTCATATGTGATCACCCACTCATTGTCCATTGCTTTTGGACTTGTATGTTTGTTGTTGGTGCCATTGACGACACTCGGATTAGTGTCAATACTTGTGCTTTTGTCGTGGTTGCTCATTATCAAGATGACTTTATGAAGTTGCATCAGCTTCACTCACTGAGTAACCACCTGCCGCTGGGTCCATAGGGTGATGAGGGAAACCAAGTTCTTCCAAACAGCAGGAATCTGCTGGTAACAGTAGTCGCTAGATATATACATATGCATTAGGGATGTGGGATTATATTAAATGTATTTGGCATGCAAAAAATGTAACCTTCATGAAATTGATAAAAACCGAATCACTACAATAATAGTGTAATGTTTTCTGCACTTCAGGTGATGATCTCTGAATAAAAAAAAAACAATTTGTGAAGTAAGGTAAAGAGAGCTAAAAATAAAGCAATGAGAGACGAATGGAGAGAAAGTAGGTGGGAAACGACTCCACGGAGCTGCGCACAGCAAGAAGACACACGGCCGCCCCACTAGGTGGTGCTGGTGGCTTCCCAATTTTGACAAAGTTTGAACTCTGATGCGAAATCAAAAACGATCAACACCCGTTGTTAACAGAAACATACAAGGAACAAGGAATCAAATAGATTTTATTTCAAGAGTCTAAGAAAATATTTGACATCACTAGTGCTAGCAGGATGTTCTTAAACCCTTGCACTCAGCTCTTTCTCAGCTTTATACATTTTCCCCACTCCAAGGTGAGCACCTTTACCCTGGTTTGAGCGCCGTACAATGTGCGGCCTGTGATTGGTTGATACAGGTGGACTCGTGGGAACCCTTCACCTCGCTGCATTCATTCAGGGAGTAGCACTCCGAAATTACCACAAATTGTCATGACTGCATGTCGTCAATCGACAATTTGATGCTTTGTCCTGCTCGTTTATTTAGACCACAGGTGACATTTGTAATCTTTTATAAAACGGCCAGAAATTAATTAAACCCAGTTACCTTTGAAGTAAATAATGTATAGGCACTTTATATTTCGAGTGTTACTTTGATAATTTTCCAGTTAAAATTTACAGAATGATTTGTAATTTGAATATAAACCCTGCCAAGAATGTGAAATAATATTTTATTAAGGTTTCAAATTTTAATGAGTGAAATATGAATGGGTGCATTTCAATTATTCGAAATATTCATTGTAAAGTGTACGCTGAGCATTGTAACTAGGGTTAAACATTTTTTGTATAACTGGTAATTGCAGTTACAGTGTGTTTTTAGCCATGGAAGCAAATCTGAGAACCCAAATAAAATCTTTGTAGAACAGGGGGAGAGCATATACACTCCAAACAGAAAGGTTCCAAAGTTGGTGGTTGAACTCGGGTCCTTCTTTCTGAGGCACAAGTATTCTCCCCTGCGCGACCCTGCCGACTACACACGTCATGGATTGTTTTCATTTTTACAATTATAGTGGATTCATAATACAGATAAGCCACGAAGATAGCAGCAATGATGGTAATACAAAAATAACAAGTCATCATTACAATGCTGTAATGTAATCCTGACAGCGGTAGCAACAACAATAGAATAAACAAGCTGGAATGTGTCGTCAGTGTGCGTCATAGAATGTGAAATGGCCAGGCGAACGTGGTGTTTTCATTGAGCGAGCCTGAGTCCACGTGTGGGTGGGTGACGGGGGCTGTAGTGGGGGTGGGAGAGTGCACATCCCCCTGAACGGAGGCTGTCGGTATTGGTGCCACGGTAAGCGGCAATTTCCACCATTGTGTCACCGCGGCGCTGTCATTGACAGTACCTAAGAGTGAACAAAAACTTAAAAGTAGATCTTCTGATTTGTTAGAGGTGGGGATATATTGGTGTTTAAAATAAGACAGAAATAATTTATACTTAAGTTGAATCGCAACCGTGGTATCATAAAAATGTATAAAGTAGCTGGATAGGGAGTAAATTATTGCACTTATGTCATAAGCAACGGGTGTTTAGCGTTTTGATTGACGATAGGGGTAGTAAAATCACTGTCACACTGCAAAAAACACGATCACAACGAAGTGGCTTATGTCGAATTTTATGGCAGCCAAATACTCTAAACGCATGTTTATAAATGTGGAGGGTAAAACTGGAGGACCTGGAGAAAAATTCACACAACCACGGGGAGAACATCTAAACTCTAAATATACAGGCGTCAAGGTTGGGATCGAACCCCACAACCTGCTGTATACATCTCGCCGCCGTGGCGGATGGGCGACTGGGGAAGCGCGCTGCTGGTTGTGCCAAATGAGGGAGACTCAGCTGTTGGCTGATTGGCTGCTGTGATAATGTCCAGTAAACAAACCCCACTAGGTTGTAGTTTACAGGAACACTCACAGCGGTTACAACTTTACTCTTGAATCGATTTTAATCTTTTCTCAAGATATGTTTTAAATTTTTGGATTTTGGAAAAATAGGGTGGCGAAGGGACTCTCCTCTGCTGACTTCATGGCTTCATCCCCAGAGGACTCATTAACCGGGGTATTACTAATTTCCTACGTGCTAAACTGAGGTATTACTGTATTTCAGTGGCTCATCAGCAGTCAGACTATCTGAAAGCAATGCTCGTAAACTGCGTAATTTTATAGGTAAGGATTAGACGTTGGCCCTAGTTCAACACAAAACTGAACTAAATTTTTGTATTACCAGGTAATGTATAATACATAACACAAAAATCATTGTCATAAAACCGTGCAAGTTGCATATTATTTGTATGTTTTTTCTTTGTCTGGTTTGTTTCATTACAACACCGCAAATACATTTATCTTAATATTTAGTTGATTCTGCTGTAGTTGAGATTGATGGATGTATCACACGAAACACAGGTTTGCTGTGAAGGCCTGAGTACATAGCAACTCAACATCAGTGAAGAATTTGACGAATGAAGTTCACGGGGCCAGGAGCCCTGACAGTAGTGATATAGGAGTGATCAGGAGGCGACTGACCACTGGTGAGTTAGCGAGTCGGTAAGTACTGGCTCATCAATTACCCCGACTGCTTTTACTCCAAATTCTATCAAGTGCATTGAGGTAGGAACTGTGTTCTCCACCCCAAGATATGAACTGGTTTTGGCTTGCTTGGAGTTTCTCTGCTCAGGCCCCAGGAAGCCATGAGGTGGCAATGTGATAGAGTGGCTGACCGCTCTGCCTCTGCTGTTTGTCCCCCCCCCCACCCCTCGCGTGCCTCCTTGACCCCACCGCTTCTCGGACTCAGGTCTGCCCCAGGAGCCCCGGGAGCTGCAGCAGGAGGACCCGCGGGGGGACAGCCCCCCAACCTCACGAGCAACAAGCGGCTGCAGCAGACTCAGGCTCAAGTGGACGAGGTGAGAAGGGGCGACTCGCTCTGCTCACTTTTGTAGGTATAATAATTTTTTTCTGTGTTTTACCGGATTTTGTTGCTTGCAATAATTTGTCTCTTACCACAAGTGTATTGAAAACACGGTATGTGAGTGAGAGATGTGATTGGTGAGAGCCTTATTGTGCCCATGACCCAGAAAAACTTACCTTGCCTTGCAGAATCACTGCGAATATTTAATTGGTCAGAAAGGCTTAGTGTATTATCAAATCTGTGTTGTCATTTCTAACAACATTTTTAACGCCTGCTTCCGTGGGTTAGGGTTTGTCACGATCTCATTGCTCCATTGTTTCACTCTAACCCTCTTGGAAACCACTTGCATTGGGTTTCACAATTCACCATTCAAATAAATCAGCTTCACTTTATATCCCACCAGTAAGTGTCTCTTTGTGCTAAATATCAAACGCAACTTTGAAAACAGTATTTCCAACACTACGCCTGCTTCCTTCACAGCTTCACAGTAGGGTAAGTGTATATCTTGTCTGTACCCCTTTGTAATTGCATCGGATCAAGGAAATATAAAAAAAATGTATGCCCTCCATATAAAAAAAATTGCCTGGGCGCTGCACCATCTTTTTGATAAACCACACTGACCTTCTGGACAGTCTCTTCAGCTGCACATTTAATATTTAAAACCTGATGCTTTCCTGTGGAGCGCATGGGTCAGTTACGCTTATCTCTTTCATCCTCAAGACAATATTGGTGGGGTAAATGGGTGGCGCAGTGGTCACACTTTCTGTGAAGTTTCTATGTTCTCCATCTGTTCTGAATGGGCTTCCTCCAGATGCTCCTGTTTTTTCCAAGCTAATTTTTTAAATGTAAATGGTATTGGCCAAACTTCCCAATGCTGATAAATTACGTGCATATTACAGGCAGTACTCAACTTCCTCAGACCCGTTCGTAAATCGAATCGTTCTTAAGTTGGAACACAATAATGTACGTAAAATCAAGTAACATAAAAAATATATTTTCACTTACCTTAAGTTCTGATGCTAGCTCGTCAGAACGGGCGTAATTAGTCTCCAGGATTGCACACACAGCGGGGGCCACTCGCGCACAACACAGACAAAGATCCCCTGGATAGCCAGACTTTTTTTAGCAAGTGCTTCTTAGCGAGCAGCACCTATGAAGGCCAGCACGGGACACGAGGGGGTGGGTAGTCGGCACCACGCCCGACCACCTTTGACACCCCAGGGGTGATGTTTATACACCGCACCAGGTACTCATTTGAGGCTGAATCGACCTAGGGAAGGCCTAGGACCAATTCAGATAATCGTCACTTTTGGTTGTGAGTGGGAATCAAACTCGTGTCTTCAAGTTGGTAGCACAGTGCGCTCACCATTAGACTACCACTCCCCACACACAAAGGGGTGCACGCACGCACACTCACTTTCACACACGTGTGCGCTCACACAAACACTCGCTCCCAGCAAGAGGCTGTAGCTCATTTCATTTCGCAGAAGATCGCTACACTGAACAAATAAGTTCATCGGTTCAGTTTGCCAGTGCGAGTTTGCATTTGCAAGTTGATGTTAAAATAATTTATCTGACGGGAGCTGGTTCGTACGTGCGGATGTTTGTAATTCTGGTGTTCGTAAGTCGAGGACTGTCTGCACCTAATTCGCAGTATGCGAAGCAATATTTCCCTCACTGTGACAACTTGGCAGACGATCCTGAAGAAGTCTTGAGACTCATTGAGACTTTCCTGGGTAAACAAGCGTAGTAATTATAATAATCATAAAATTATAATAAATGCCAGCACTCCCCACAACCACCTAAGGTGTTGACCCTTTGCTCACAGTGGTTTGAGGCCATGCATCTTTAATGCGCACAAAGCTGAGGGGTGGTTTAGAGTGGCAAGTTGGCCCACCCAGCTAAGTTTGTAATTTTTATCCATTTGAAATGTCCTTGTTTTGAATTCATTGCTTTAATACTCATAAGTGTTTTCCAATAACCTTCATTCAATACCTTTCCTATGCTGCATTTTGATTTGAGATGCTCTTGAAAGGAAGGTATAATTCCTAGCGAGCCTTGGAATTTCTGCAAATGTTTGTCTCTAGGTTTGCTTTACGTAATTCTACATATATAAAATTAATGTAGCTTTTCAATAGCCACATATGCTACTTTAATGCTTTTTAAAAGAGACTGACTTTTTAGATTTTCCTGAAGATGCTTGATGTAGTTTCATGCGAAGTTTGGCGTCTTATGGCTATTGAGTTATCGGTGAGTTGAAACAATAATAATTGGTGCGTTAATTGCTTGTACACGTGATAATTTAATTTGTTTGGCTATGTAGAGTGGTAGAATATTTCACAACAGAAATTTGGCTAGCTCATTGTGGTCTAATTGAAAAATCTGATCTATTCTTAATACAATTAATACGCAATTAATGAAAATACGTAGAAATGGATTCTGTAATCGTGATTTATTTTGATTCGTAGCATGCAAACCGATAGCTGTAGGGGGGTAGCTGTCAGGGGAAGGTCTGCACACCCCCCCCCCCCCCCACTGTGATGGTGGGGGGGGACTCCACCCATCGTGGACAGATAGAGCTAAAGCATAATCGCTCTCGACATTTATTGCAAGCACTTTCGCAAGCGCAGGCTGAGAGAACCTTCAATACATTTTATTTTAAGTAAGTTTTTTTGTAATGAGGGTAGATGCATTTGCTCACCTGCCAAGTGTCCACAATTGGGGGTGAGGGAGTGCCCACCCTGTGCTCAGAGAACCCCCTCTGGCTCCCCACTACTAAATCCTCGTCACTCCGTGTGTTTCCAATCAATGTCTGTCAGGCATCAATCACGAAGCACATCTACAATTATTCTCGCGACCTCACGTTTTTGTCACAAATAGCAACATCGCCCCGTACTCTGAAACTACTGCACACTTTCTATGAAACAATCACCTTCATGATAGCTCTGTGCGATTATAATCGTGTGCGCACCAAGTATACTAAATAATTTGTATACATGCAACATACATACTTCTAAAATACACATGGCCCATGCACACACAAATATACCTTTACATCTACATTAAACATATGTTAGCATGTAAAACATACACAATTGATGCACATACACAATACTGTGAAGTCGCACATGCACACAAATATAATATACACCCGTGCCAATATACGATGCAAATACAGTTATCCATTCTGGATGTGAGCAATATTAATGTAGTCATTCACAGCAGCGGCCCTAACTTTTCAACTGAAGATGTTTAAAACAAGTGTTAAGCTTATTTTGATTAACCAGGTGATAACTCAATGGACCAGGATAGTCTAATTTGCACGAGTGACCTGGTTACCAAAATAAGCAAAAGCAACAACTTAAAAACAAAGTATGAGAAAGAAGAAAATTGAAATCAGAGCAATATTTTACTTGCAGGTAAAACTACACACATTTAAAAATTGTACAGCGCCCATAAACACTACCCATTTTGGCTTGGCCATGGTTGTTAGAATGTGTATGTCGATTGCCGGTGTTTTAACTGCAGCTCAACACCAGTTTAATAACGTTTAATGGAAAAAGTCTCAAACACTTGCAAGTTGAATTAATTATTTTGTTTCTGGAGGACCTTGCTAGCTTCCATTTGATATCCGAATTGTGGGAATGTGGGGCTTGTGTTTGTGGAGTGGATAGGGATACAAATGCACGTATTTATATCCCATGACCAGGAAATCATAGTTTTCTCCCTATGGGAGAAACAGACTGACCTGTTTCTAATTAAATTAAATTGTCGCCTCCTACCTTGGATGTAGAAGTGATCGCAGTGACATTCGGGAGAGCAAATGGATAGTGGCGCAGCTTGGATAACAGTTGGCGCTAATGGAAATTGCACGGCGACAGAGATAGCCATCGAGGCCCAATTTCTGTGCTGTTTTTGCTGCTATTTGAAGGAACCAAAATTGCCTTCAGCTATTCCATTCATCAGCACTCATTTAAATGTCATCAGGTTTTTATTATTCACACAGAACTGGTGTTTTTATGCAATTTTATTGAAAACAAAATTGTCAGCGTTGAAAATTTCCACCACCATTTGCATGTCGCTGCCACTGACTGCGAGTGAGAAGTCGTGCGATTGTCCCGTGACCCATTTACCGATATACAACATGGATGGTGGCTGCAGCTTAAGGATTTCACATGAAGCCAGTTATTGAATGCATGTGCTCATATGTTCACTTGTAAAAAGCCTCTAACATTAATTGCAAACATTAAAAGAAAGTTGAATTCAAAGGGGCACGAGTCCAAAGATATAAATGAGAATTTTAAGCACATGCATATGAGAAATATACAAATGTGTAAGGAAATTAAACAAAATAAATTTTTATAAAAATGTTCCCCTTCAGCAGAAAACCCTTCAAGCAAACTTCTCCGACCATTGACCATGACTGTTCTCACCACCCTCTCATAGGTTTACCGTGCCAGCCTTGACAAGCGGTACTTGCTCACAGTACTTTCTCCAACAACCTGTGTAGGCTACATTGGAGATTCTTTGTTTGCCTTGTGGTGAACAGGTGGTGGACATCATGCGCGTGAACGTGGACAAGGTTCTGGAGCGAGATCAGAAGCTGTCAGAGCTGGACGATCGCGCTGATGCGCTGCAGCAGGGAGCGTCGCAGTTTGAGACCAGCGCTGCCAAGCTCAAGCGGAAGTACTGGTGGAAGAACTGCAAGGTTCGCACTATCCCCCTGGCTCACGCTCACTTCATGGTGGTTTAAAGGAAGGTGCAACTGAAATAAAACCTATTTGGCAGCTGTTTTAGTTAATTGGCAAAACAACGGATCAACGGCATTGTAGCAACTTATATAATAATACCGGGGTGTCAGAGTGCTTTATACAGGATAATCAACTTACATTGCATCTCATCTCAAACATTTGAAAGGACATCTCCAGTGGCAGCTGTCCCTGTGTGGCACAAGTTCACTCGGGCTATAACTGAACAACGAAAAAACTATACACACTCTTGGTTTTGTTACACTTTATTTGGCTAAATCTCACCTGAGAATAAAAAAATATTTGGTTTTGTGACTCTCATGGCAGAGCACATTGGCTAATACGCCCCTCACTGCGTAAAGGAAAAATTGACCACTTGATGGATTTTTCAGAAGTCCTATGAAATCTCTTCCGTGGACCAATGCACGGGGCGTTGAGCTCTGTGAGATTTCAGAATGGATTCTTTATCTCGCACCAATACATCCAAAGCGCATTTGGAATATTGGAAGAAAAAGGACAACAAACTAAGAAGCTGTCGACACGGCAACAGCTGAGTATTGGCGAGCTAACACAGCTGTGTTTGTATTGTTGTTTATTTCGCGCTGGCAGATGATGATAATTATCGGCGTCATTTGTGCCCTGATCCTGCTGGTTATTATTCGTAAGTACCCGGGAGAAGGGAGCACCACGCTGCCTGCTGTTCGGCCGGGGCTCCTTGCTTAGCGATCGCTCAGAGAATGAGCTCACTACCACCGATCGATCCCACCCTCCTAAGTTACATTCTCAACCAGAGTGGTGGTCAAAAGCCATAAGCGCTATTTGACGAGTGGTCATAATTGTTTTCTTGTGGGTTCTATTTGATTTAGAATTTTGGCGAGGTTTTCGTTTCGCTCGAGCGTTGGCCTGCTTCGTTTGAGAGCCCTCTGTGCCACGGCAGCGTGGAGCTGCATTAGCGGCGCTCCTTCTAAGAAGGCTCCTAATATCCGTTGCCATGGCTTGGTAGTGGCCTACACGCCACCTAAAACACTGACAAACAGCAGCCCTGGAGAGATTAGTGTGCACAGCGCCAGATTACTAAGATCTCTGTTGCCGGGGTGAGGTTCCAATTAAGGATTAAAGAGCAAATGCACGGCTCTTTCACAATCGGCTAGGGTGGCTGCATTTATGCTTTTGCCAAAATGTGATCGTCCACAATGGAGGCATCCAAATCTCAGTTTGGAGTCGGGTGGAATTTAGAATGTCCATTAAATACTTGGGGTGCACCAAATTGCATTTGATGCTTTTATATAAAATATCGATTACATAATATACTTTCCGATGAATTTGGTTTTTAATGTGCTATTTGAATAAACTAGCAAGTATCTGTTTCAGCAAAATATCCCGAGTAAAAACTATCCAAAAAAGTGCACAAACATAAATCAATGTTAGATACATTTCCTATTATAAAAGTTGTAAAAAAAAAAACTTCAGAGTAAATTAAATTTACAAAAACGTAAATGGATTTAGGGTGAGTTATTCCATTGGAATCTAAACAGAAAACGGTATATGTCAAATACAACTGCAAGTAAAGTCGCAGACTTTGTCCGTGAATAATTGTGACCACTCTGTTCAGCCTGTCGTGTGGTTATTATGGCATGTACGTGTTTACTGTCTGTGCAGTTATAACCTGCTCTGAGCACAACAAGGAGCCCAAGTTGCGGAGCAACGAGCAGCGATGGGCGTCTGAGGATTTGCGTTGTTACGTGTGCTGCTTCAGAGCTGTCTTCCGTTTTGGTTGTGGTTGCAGATGTGGGCAATTCTGATAGCTGTGATCGTTCTCATAATCATCATCATCATTAGTGAGTATACATCCCGCTTCCCATTGCTTTTGTTTCTTGTTTTTTTGGCATTTGATTACACTTCGTTATGTTTTTACATGCACTTTAATGTTTCATTTAATTGATATTTTTACGGCGTCAATGTACTTGTTTATTTCCATTTTTTAAAACACAAATGTGAATGATAACTGCTGAATGTTACTTTATACATTTACGTTTTTGTCACTTGTTTTGTTTGCGATTGGGTTTGTAAATTTCTGCTCGTGGTTTCTCATCTACTTTTCACCTATAGTTGCGCATTTACTTCACTCGTCTCACGGTTCTAATGACCATTCACTTGACATTGCTTTAAGTTACAAGTCTTTTACTCGTGCTTTTGTGAGCTCTGTTTGCTGCTGTCTATTTTAGAGCTAAATTGCCTTACTAATCATTTGTCATTTGACTCAGGTGAGTGAGTAACCCTTTCTCTTTTCGGATGTTCTTGGCATTGTCACGTGCGTGGCATTGTGCTGCTTTTATTGACACTTTCATTCTAATCCCTTGATATGGAACATCCCATTTGCAACGGAGTCCAGGTTATCGCTTGATATATGCATAGCACACACATGTAATGACAGTTCCTCCGTGCAATGTCCCTTGATCGTTTTGCCTCTCACGTCAAAGCCACCCAGAACCTCCTCTGTGATTGGTTCACAATAGATTTTTGGGTTCGGCCATATAATCTGGCCAAATTTTAGTTGTGTAACCATCCACCACCCGACACAGCGAAACAAAGTATGTATGCACAAGCGATTAACATGCCAATTATCGTTTCAGTGTGCCGGAAAGATAAATAAGAATTTTCACAACCAAATTTAGGAACCAGCTACAATGTTTAACTTTAAACCTGCAACAAGCATGCTCAGGTCAGAAACCATAAAGTCTAAATAAAGTCACTTGACCCAGCTTTTTAAATAGGTGTCATTACATCACAGGAACAATCACTGGAGCAACAAATAAGGGTTAAGCAACGCCATGTACCTGCAGTCTTTGACAAAATCCAGGTCTTTTGCATGTTTAATAACAATCCTACTCTTCACATGGCTACGAGGGGTAAAGGAAATGGCATTTGCAGTAAAACTTGTTCCATAGTGCTGTGTGCAGACCTCCCTCCTGCCACCCCACGAACAGCCGCAATGGTCGTTTTCAGTCTGTCACACTCTTGAAAGGGTGATGGTGAATGGTCACATTTTTTCTGTACTTGAAAAATGTGTTTTTGTCCCTGAAACGTTTACTTGCTTAAAAACCCACGCACTCGCCAGAACACACTGCTGAGAGATATTTACTCCAATTTAGAATAATGTTTGGATAATGTAGCCAAAATATTGAATGGCCACTTATGAAGAACAACTTCAGTCAAGGTTGTAAAAATTAATATTGCCCGTATTTGTGATGTAATGTGCATTTATCTTTTTACATTTTCTCAACTTTAATGTATGGAACACTGTTGCTAACATATGTATTTTTGTTTTCCTTCTCTTTCCAATGTTAATTTCCTCCCCTCGACTCTACATATCATTCCCCATTGTGATCATTGTCTCTGCAGTCTACTTCTCCATGTGATGTGTGGAGGCACCCAGGCCCCCTTCCCCCACCCATCAAAGTCTGGAGCGTTTCACACCGATTAACCCTTTCACCGATTGCTGCAAATCTCGGTCACTCCCCACTTCCTGAAAATACATTTTCCTTTTCTTAACAAAGAAACACTCAAGAGCCAGATTTTGTGCATTTGAAATTGCATCTATTGTCCAATTAGATTCCACAAGTGCCAACCAACTTCTTTCTACAAGACATTGCCTACTGCTTAATATCAAAGCGTCCTTGCTGCTGAATCGTTTGAATCCGTCACACACTGCTGTGATTTCCATGCAGCGATATTTTGGTGACGGTGCAAAGGAAGCAAAACTATGGCACTCATTTAGGTGACCGCGCTGCTGAGCCGCGCACACCTTCCATGCACGCAGGGAGTGGCAGGTGAAATGGTTAAACCTCAGAGCGCTCCACTAAGTCTCGTGTGTCACCCAGTGTCTTGTCTTTGGCTTTAACTGTGTCCACACATGGCCGCCTTGTGCAGATTCTCGCAGATACGTGTCTTATATTTCCAGTGCTGATGAGAGGCCTTGTTCCAACTGTTGCATGCTCTCGTCAATTTCTCGACCCCAAACATGTCTCTTCACTGCCATTCTTGTTTTCTCTCCAACGCTCCACCCTCTCGCCCACCTATTGCCTATTCTGTTTTGTTCACCATCCTGCATCCTGCCAGCTTGGGTCGTGAGTCCTCCAGTCTGCTTGCTGTACTGATCTGCTTGCTGCTGTTGGCTCCTGATTATGTTTCTGGCGAACGATTTCACCTTAAAACCAGTGAAACTAAAAGTATGGTTTAAGTTGTGTGAAATTGCCCATTGGGGATCAATTTGAGCAAATGACTAACCCCCTACTGTCCAAACATTTTGTGACAGAAACGCAACTTACGTTTCCACACTCATGAGATGCCTGTGCCTGAGAAAACCCGTTTAGGGGGGCCTGTGTGGCAGGTGTGAGGCCATGGCCATGAATGGGTCAGAGGGCTCATTGATGGTTGCTGTTTTGTTACCCCCCTCCCCCCCCGAGTGGCGATTCAACCTGGCGCATTGCCCCTCATATGTTCTGTCACTTGCTCTTCCAAGCGTTGTTTTCATTTCATTTATTATTGTTGCTTATGTTTTGTGCACGTGTTGTATTGTTATACATATACTACATGATATTCATTGCCTGCCGTTCCATTCCATGCCTCATGCCCATGCACTTCCCCTCCCGACCCTTTTGCCCCCCCCCACCCCCGATCCACCCACCCTGACCTTAATTAAAAATAAAACGCAGTCGCCGTTTACACCAACAAATAGAGAGGAGGGGGTCCCCAGGCGTCCCAGCAGCAGGAAGGAAATCCTCACCCGTCTACGCTGTTGCTGGCTGCTCTCGCCTGCATATGCCTCGCCCACTCGCTTGCTCACCCTCGCTCCCTTCTGCTGCATCCGGCGCGTTGCGAACGCTGCCACGCGCCACGCGATTGTGGTGCTGCGCTCGCCCTCGTAGCCCATGGGCCCAGACCAAATATTCGACTCGTTGGTACAACCTGAGATGGAAACATTTGAGGTGTACGGTGTCAGTGAATCGTCAACAAAAATTAATTATGCAATAACCGTCGTTATCAGAATCCACTTTTATTCACCATGTATAGAAACCGATATCGCTAAATCTTTGCCACCACCAGTGGTACGCAGACTAGTTTGCGATCGGCTCTGGCCCATGGATTACATCGCACCTGAACGGCGGTTGCCTCGTCAGTATCCAGCGAAGTCGACCCCCCCCCCCTGCCGGTGAGAAAGTAGGAGGAGGAAATTCTGCATGTCGTCGCAACGGCAGATGGGAGCACTTTAAATATTAGCTACTTCAAGCATTCTCAAGTGCGTTTAAAAAGCTATGCTGTGATTTTTTTTTGTGGGCAGGGGGCAATGTTGCAATTATACAATCTGCACGTGGATACGTTGCATTAATTCTGCAGGCTGCTGTCTTTAAAAAAATAACCTCAAACATTGAAGATCTGCTCTCCGCACTGGGCGATGATGGCCCTGGCTCCCGCCGTTCAGGTGCAACGTAGACATGGGTATGTGCACACTCAACGTTTGTATTGTGTGTGCGGGTATCAGGTCATTGTTAAGCTCCTCGCTTTCTGCACTCCCAACAGCACTCCCATTATGTTCACTTTACAAAAAAAGGGCCGGTGATTATACAACTCCTTGCAAGCTCATATAAATGCACGTTGTTTACAATTTTCTTTTAATTTTGCCTTATATACGAAGACCAGTTGGGTGTGCAAGATTCGATTTTTAGCTGTTAATCTTGTGATTAATTTCAAGATCTACATACAAAAATGACCCTCTTAATTACCAAGGGGAAGGGGTGTGGGTACTTGGTGGTCAGACTGCAATAGGGCCCAGGCAAGGGAAGCTGGCATGTTCTCAAGGGCACCTGAATTGCTCAACCCCAACAAACATCGACAATTTTGCTCAAAATCCAGCGCACTCTTTATACTCAATCCAGCTACTCACGACACCTGGGCACATTCCAACTGGTCTGGGCGAAAACGTCTTTTTTCTTTTAGTTCGAGTGTGTGTGTATGTCAGATGTAGCATTCGAGTGGCGTCTGCGCGTGCGTTCACTGTGGTGTCCTTATTCAGGTGTTCTTATTAAGTGGAGGGAAGTTGACCTTCGTGATTTCGTAATCCAATGATTAATCACAGCCTTTTTGTCATGACTTGTGGAAAAAATTATTGTGACCTACAAGCTGTAAGATTGGTATCGTTTGTGTCTTAAATATAAAACATTCCAGGTGGGAGGACGTTTTGAGAAGTTGCTCTTAGGGGGAGACTGAACCAATTGGTGATGGAAAAGCAGAATCCCAGTTTTTATTAATAAGTTTGGCACTGTAATTGTTTATGATCACCTTAAAAACAGCTGCTTCGCCTTGTTTTTATTTCCTTCATGATTGCCTGGTCAGTATCGGACTCGCAGGTAATCCTGTAAACCGCGTGCAATATAATCTATAATTAGAGCCAAGGGATAATTGGCAGTGGCAATTAAACAAATTTGTGGTACAAGTGTGTGTTTCAAATGAAGCATTTTTGTTGGAGTGTCCAAGTTGCTCTGCCTGGAAGCCGATTTCTCCATGAACAAGATCTGAATGGAAGTGAAGAACTGAAGTAGAAACCAGCACATGCTGATCATATCCAGGGCCTGTTTGCAGTTAAAAACGGGGTTCTGTACAGACCCAGAACAGGGGTGATGCTAAAAGGCTACGATCTTGACACGCAATTTTTTGGTAAAATTACGGCTGAAAAGCTCAAAAAAATGTATGGCAAGGTTTACAGATAATTTCGCTTTGCTCTCAGCAGCATACGCCGAAGCTTTTAAAAAGATTGGCTCATTCAAAGCAATCATAACTCCTTGTGTTTGGCGACTTTGAATATTACTTGCACAATGTTACGAAACGTGCAGTTCCAAGTCCATTTGCATTGGAACAGAGACCACCTTCCGCAAAGCTCTGGTACCGCCCTCCAAATCGGGTGAACCAACAGCCGCCGCCATTTTACTGCAAATACCGTGGGCCACGGGTTTGCAGCCTGCGGCTCTTTTCAGGACCACCGCCGTCGTCCCGTATTCACTCGCATTGTGGCTCGTGGAATATTGAGGTATTTTTTTTTTACCGAATTCGAAAAAAACGTCCCTTATTTTGGTTGCCGACCCCTCCCATACTATGACCTGCACCGAAGATGCAGATGTCGCATTTTTTAAAGGAAACGAAAGCACCGAACATGCATTTCTACAGCCAAATCCAAGATTTATCTTCGGACTTTATTCAAATTCACGATTTCTGTAACTCACCACCGTGCTAAAATCGTAGCCTTAGATGTGCCATTAGTAAAGTATATGCGAATCCTGTTTCGGGAGAAGTGGCTGACGGGCCACGCCTGTCGCGATGGAGCACGGGGACTCGTGCGCGTGACGTTCCCCCGAGGGCCACGCGCGCATTGCCGGCGCAGGTCGGTGTCGACGCCTCCCCCCTGTCGTCGTCAAAGGATCTCGAGCCCGCGTGCCTGTCGAATATAACTAAAATGGATCTCGAAAACCACTCGCGCTAAGAAATTGTGAACTTTTGAGAACTTTGGGGTTTTATTCAATTGCTTTGTGTGTGCATTGAATAATTACCAGGTCGCTGTGGCCACTGCATCATGCACCATTCAAACTTGAAGCTGAATTTGTAATCGTTAAACACTGAATGTCTGTAGCCGTCAATCCACGAGCTGCGAAGTCGACGGTGGTTTTTTGACGACGCGCGTTTTAACGAAGCCTCGTCTCGCACCGCCCGACGCTTTGTTCTGTTGAGTGCATCACCCGAATGGAGCGCTGTGCCCTGTCATAAATCACTGGGAGGTGCGGGTGGGAGCATCGGCAGCGTGGACCTGTGGGCCGTTGCATTAAGCACCCAAAGTGAAAATCTCCATTAGTAGACACTGATTCGCGTAGGAGATAAGGGAATGTACTTCAGTTGAATGCAGCTTACTCCTGGCCTTTGTCCCGGGTTAGTGCTGCACAGTCTCCCCCTAAGGTGAAACCACCGCCCGCTGCACTGGTGACCCGGCGCCTGCATCACTCGGTACAGGTACTGGGCTCTGCCGTGTTCTCAAGCAAGGTGGCTCGGCACTTAGCACTATGTGTGCTGGGCACATTGTGTCTTTCAAACATTCCCTTTTGATAGCCTTTCCGAGTTGGTGCGCGCATTGCGCGTCTCTAGCGGGTGTATTTATAGAGGTTTTCTTGATGTGTATTTTATGCCGTATTTGTAATTGTGCTGTGCTCTTTTTGCACGTTATATACGCATATATACTGTACTCATGGTTGACTAGCGTTCTGTGGGTGTTAAACAATTACAAATGTCGGTCACGGTGCACGCGCACACAGACGCGCGCCAGTTTGCGCGCGTCTGTGTGCGCGAGTCGTGTATCTCTCTCTGGCCTATGCGTGTGCTGAATTCACGTGAAGGGAAATATAAAGTGGAAACTGTATGGTTTTGGTACTTTTCCTTCAACGTAGTGTGTATAAATGATCATTAATAAAAATTGTCCGTAATGTGGCTGGTTTTCGTGTGATCTCTGCTTGTGCCGACACTTCAAGATGACGGGTACAAACGAGACCCCATTAAACTCTCAATTGGCAAGGTTGCCTTCTTATTCCAAAGGTTTGCATGCAAAGCAAGGGGGGTGTTGGAGCGTTTTGAGCAAACGGAAATACAGTATGGGACCGAGACCTGAGGGGTTCCTTGTTGAGATGTTGAGACAAACTGGTTGTGAAGAATAACAGCCTGGTTATGGGTTTAGCGGGAATGATAATTATTGGTATTCGTGGGTCGAGTGGGTTTTGGTGGGATTTGGGGTTAATAGGTTTTGGTTGTGGGTTTTAGTGCGAGTCTCATACGGTACAGGAGAACAAACCACTTCAAAATCAGACTTTAGGATCTCTAGTTCAGAAAAACTGCGTTGAGTCTTGTCAGGCACTCGTATTCTTTGGGTCTCTCGGTAAAGTCACGTAGATGGGTTCAAAGAGATTAACAAAAAACGACGTTTCGATCGCGTCAGGATGACGACCGCTTGTGTTGCGATCGAAACGTAGTTTTTGGTTATTTTCTTTGAACCCATCTACGCGAGTTTACCGAAGACCCAAAGAATATCTCGTCAGGCAATTTATAGAATTGCGAAAGTCGTTGAGTACTCCGGCCCCAGCTTCGTAAAGCGCCCCCGACATGCGGCTACAGCGCGGACATCGCGGAGCCACTGGAGCCCCGCGCGTGAGATCGGGTGGGGGACGTTCGCTTTGCTGCGACCATTGATCGCGGTAGCGGTGGTTGGTGATGTGTGATGCCGCCGCCACGAAGCCGTTCGGCAGGCACCAAATCCCCGACCTCGCCACCACCAAGCAACGGAGCCGACCCCGCGTCCCCCTCACCTCACCTCACATGAACACACCCGCACTCATTTCCCCCCCCCCCCCCATAGAGCTCCGAGGGGAGGTCGCCTGGCCGACCGGTTTTTATCCGAGAGACCCTTATCGGGATTAATTCTCACGGTTTCCGGCGATCAGGGGATTGGATGACCTCCCCCGTGCTACGTGGCACCGCGGCGCTGCGGCCGGCCTTAATATGGTGTGGTCGCGGCGTGGGGCATTCGGCCACCGCGGTTGAAGCGCATCTCCCCCCACACACACTCCCACGGGTCGACGGGGCGAGCAGGGGAGGCACGGGACAGCATGAATAGGGGGG